GGGGCGCAAGAAGCCGAGGGAGACGCTGAGCAAAGCCGCGGAGGACCCAGGCCGGACCCGCGGTGCTTCCAGCTGATCTGGAAGCGCCGCGGGTCCGGCCCCCGGGTCCTCCGCCTCTTTGCTCCCCGTCTCCCTGGTCTGCTGGCTCCCCCAGCAGACCAGGGAGATGGGGAGCAGCTTTTCTCGCCCCGGAGGAGGCGGGCGGCGGGACCAGGCGTCCTGCCGCTCCAGTCCTCCGGGGCGAGAAAATCCCCGTTCGTAACTGCGGGGATCCGCGTAAGTTGGAGACTGCCTGTAGTGAAAGATTTCTTTCCTTTCCAAGTATAAAACTGTTTTTTCTGCTGGCTCCCCCAGCAGACCAGGGAGATGGGGAGCAGCTTTTCTCGCCCCGGAGGAGGCGGGCGGCGGGACCAGGCGTCCTGCCGCTCCAGTCCTCCGGGGCGAGAAAATCCCCGTTCGTAACTGCGGGGATCCGCGTAAGTTGGAGACTGCCTGTAGTGAAAGATTTCTTTCCTTTCCAAGTATAAAACTGTTTTTCATGCAGCAATCGGGGAGGAAAGGACACAGTGTCCAATTAAAAGGTATTTCAAGAGCCATTTTTTGAAACTGTCTTCTTGTGAATTCAATGCAAATTTTATAGATTGTTGTTGTAGATTCGAGTTCTAAATTTTATGTGATAAATCATGGGACTATGGGGCTGTCTTGGCACTAAACTTTGGTGCTTATTGATATAAGAAATAGCATCCTGTGAAATATTCATATATCAAGATCTTCATTTACATATGAGTTTTTAAAAAGGTCTGTGGATTATATTTCATCTTAACATCATTTCTCGACTGTGATAGGGACAAAAGTTCCTACAAAATGTAAATTAAATATGATTATTGTTTAATTAGAAAATCAGTTCCTGTTCCTAGATTAGCTGTTTTTAAACTTCCTCTCAAGGTAATCCTGTTTTGCAATTGCCCACCTTTCTTTCGTGATGGTACAACTAACCTACGTAGCATTCCACAACCACCCACACTCTCATGAAATGAATAACTCTGTAGTTACGGTTCTGTGTATTTATCAACGTTAAGTGTTGTATATCTATAAAAGAGACCATCTCTATCATGTGCAAAGTTAGATTTTCAACTATCTAATTGTATATTTGTATAATATTGTATCTCCTCAATGCTGTGCAATCACTGTCAAAGTTTTTTTGCACTGGCCTTCTGATGATGAAAATGTTAAGATGCCTATTGTAAGATAATTAGAACATTTTACCTGCTGTTATTGGGCTGAATGTATGTAAATAAGTAACAATAAAAAAGACATCTGTACAAGCAGTGGCCTAAAAAGTCTGTAATTTTAGGATAGGACAATTACTGAAGTTGCCATGACATTTGAAAAGTTACCGTTGAATAAACTGTTTACAGGGCCTCTTGGAATGCAATGTCATAGAGAAAGGAAAGTCTTTCTTTGTGACAATATGACGTAGAGAAATTCAATTATCAGAGCTTTTATTTCCAATGTTTCAAAGTGGAGAACATAACTCTTTATTGTCTGTAAATCTAACATTATTACTTCCTCTTAGAAGAATATTGTATTGTTAGATGTTTGTTTGAGCTAGTAACATCCTTGCAACTGCTGCAATATCTTTCTGTTAGCAACCTGTATGATACTTTGTACACAAGTACTGGTAAGATTGTCATTAACAGTAGCTTTGATCATTTAACTACCTATAGCAGAATAGTATTTCTGTAATATTTCCAATGTATTACTACCATGCCATATTTTATTTCTATAATGTAATTAAACTGTTATTTATTCAAAGAGAAAGTACTCTGTTATGTTTGTTTTTTCAAAAGTAAGAATTACTGTGTGCCACTTCATCCCACAATCTGGAGCTGCAGATTTTATTTGAGGTATTTTTCCTTGTTAAACATGGATTATACATAAGTGTTCAAGCTTTCTGTGTCTTCACTGTATTGTGTTTCCTTGAGGATCAAGAGCCAATTTTTTACCTTCCCCTAATTGCAAAAACAAAACTAAGGAACTGAAAAAGCCTTTTGAATATTGACAATCTCAAAGTGGAGTTTTTCTGGAAAGTTTAAGGGGAATCAGACAAAGTATTTCCAAAATATATTGAAAATTTAAGGAGATTATTAGGCAAGAAGATTTGTTAAAATGAGATTAAAGATAAAAAACAACTTCTAATAGCAACACGCAAACTAAACAATCTCCTTTGAAATTTCACCAGCATTATCTTATGCTTTAGGCTAACTTTTACTGAAATTGTGCTGCAAATCAGAGAAAGTTTTTTGGAGATATTAGTATTCACATGTTTCTCATGTATTTTCTAATGAATTTTCCTGTTTTCTTTTGAATGTAACTTCAACTTAAAATTTCCAGCTTACTAATATTTGTTCTTTTCAGAAAATAATTTTATTTTAAGGATTTTTCTCCCCTAAGTAGTTAACTGCTACACAAACTCCAGCACAAGGAAGTTTTGAAATACTATTATTAGTTTTAGTTTTTTGCCTCTGTCAGAAGCACAGTCATATTAAGAAAAAATAGTTCCATTCAAGGAAGATAAATAAAAGGTCAAAAGAGGGAATAAAAAATGTCTCCTTTGCCAAATGCATATAAAAATAAACAAACCCTGAATTAGTTACTTGTAAGTATAAAAATAATAAGATCACTGAGTTAAACATGATGGCTATGTCTACATTGGCATGATCTTGCACAAATACTCTTTAATGCACTAGTTCTTGCGTTAAAGTATTTGCACAAGAGAGCGTCTACACTGGCATGTGCCTTTGCACAAGAGATGTGCTTTTGTGCAAGAGCATCTGTGCCAGTGTAGACGCTCTCTTGCGCAAGAAAGCTCCAATGGCCATTTTAACCATCGGGCTTTCTTGCGCAAGAAATTCATGTTGCCTGTCTACTAAACTGGCCTCGTGCGCAAGAACAGTTGCACAAGAGGGCTTCTTCCTGAGCGGGAGCATCATAGTTCTTGTATTAGATTTCACACATTAGAATGTCAGTGTTCTTGCTTAAGAACTCCCCGCCAGTGTAGACAGGCACC